AATTATTCCTCTCGGCACAACTTGGCCGCAGTTTATTTTTAGACAAGAATTTGTTATTATTTAATTAATAAATGGTGTATATTAGTTTTTCATGTTTTTCTACTTTTCTTACTCTTCATATTTTCATATTTGCTTTTCATCTCTCCGAAAGTAGAGAATTTTTATTGTGTGTTTTCTTGCAATGTCATGCAATCTGCTTTTATTCGCTGGAATGCATACATATGTACATAAATAGTGAGCGAATGTGTTGATACCTAATTTTTTTGAACTATTTGTCATAAAGAAATATAAACACTTCCTCAATTGCATGAATAGAGGAACGAGACAAACACCAACTTGTCATCACATTTCCAGATAAAATATGCATTCGCTGGCACTTAGGTGGCCACTGCTGAACTTAAATTGTACAGCTGCAATTAATTCAGAGTCCTTAAAGACGCCCACAATCAAAGCTATGAGCATAATTAATCAAGTAATTTTGAGGATTTTTGTGTTAAATAAAAAAAAAAAAAAAACAGAAATATAAAAAATAAGAAAAAGGAAAGATGCAAACAAATTTTAAAAAATATAAAAAAATAGATAAAATAAAATGTAAAAAAATTAAAAATACGAAAGTAAAAACTTAAAAGAGAAATAAAAAAATATTAAAATAAATAACAATAAAAAAAAAAACAAAGAGAAAAAAATGCAAAATAAAAATAAATAAATATATACAAAGAATCGTGAGAAAAAAGTAAAGCGAAAAAATAAAAAAAATTAGAACGAAAATTAAAAAAAAATACTTGGCCATGACCGCTGTTGTGCTCATTTGAAGCCTCAAAATATCCATACATATTCAAATCTTATGCACTTTATTTTGTAAATTATGACTAAGTCAATATGTATGTAAACAATTGGATATCTACAAGTGCACATATATAAATATATTCCTGTGTGTTCCACTACAGTTGAATTTTAATTGTTAATTTCTTGGTGTGAATAAAATGTTTACTCGACTTTTCTGCACCTTTTCTCCGTCTTTTACGCTTTCTTTTGTATAATCACACTTTTTACTTTTCATCTATTTGCTCCATCAGTTTTTCAGAATCTATATTATTTTAAAGTGCTTGTGTACTGTGCTAGTAATTTTTTATATAATATCGTTTATATGCGCATTGCTTACGTATTTTCCGTTTTTTTTTTCTTACACAATAGCTGAGAGTTTGTGTGGTTGTGTTTAATTTGCGTGGGCCAATCGTAGAATAGGACTTAAAATTATTTCGCTACTCACATCGTATTTTAATAAATATTTTCAAGCGTTTCCCTGCTACTGATTTTCGCTTGTGATTAGAATATTATTCTTGTTTCCACTTGTGTGCTTGGCAGGTTTTTCTATGGAATTTATAATTATTATTTCTTGATGGATTTGATTTATGCTGGACAGTGGAAGCAAACCCAGCAAGTCATGTTTAATAAATTAGGAATCGAAAGCATTGGTACTAATTGCATTGAATCAAATTTATGATAAAGTTTAAATAAAATTCCAATTGAAAAATTTATCAGCCAGAGCATTAAAATTAGTATTTTCATTCATTAAAAGTCTTCGCAGTCTTTTGTTATTCTCTTATGAGTTCATCCTCTTCCACCGTCCAACTCAAGCAATATTTTTCGTGAAGACAGTTCTGGAACTCGTCGCTCGTGTGAAAAGATATTTGGATTTGAAATTTCTGAAGGAATACATCATGTGATGTTGCTATGAAAAAGGCAAGATCCCGGCAAAAACTTGCCGAATACTTTGTGAGAGTTTATGTCGAGAATGCTATACATACTACTTCAAAGCCTGAGTTGACAAGCAAACAAAATGATGGTTGAGTGTGTGGGGAGAGAATAGTCTATTGACGGAATTTTAATCTTTATACTTTTTTCTTTTCTAATTTTTACTTTATTTGCTTTAAAATTACATTATTCATGCTTTATTTTTCTTATTTTCTGTTTTTTAGTTTTCTTATTTTCTTATTAGATTTTTATTTTCTAGTTTTTAATTTCGTTTATTTCTTTTTTATTTAATTTTATATTCTTATTTCTTTATTTAATTTAATGTTATTTATTTTCTTTAATTTAATTAATACATACTTGTTTCTTTTCATTTTTCTATTTATGTTTCTCTATTTTTAATCGGATATCTTTAAATTTTGCTAATTTATTCATTTCATTTCCAAAAAAAAATATATAATTTTTCTGGAAATTGTTTAATTAACTTATATTTTTGTATCTTTTTATTATTTTATTTTATTATTTGATTTTGTTAATGTTTTTATTTTTTTTCGTTAATGTTTTTAAATTTTTTTATTTATTTTTAACATTTTTTTTTTATTTTTTTTTTTTTTATTTTTTTTTATTTTATTTTTTTTTAGTTTTTTTATTTTATTATAATTTTTTTTATTTTTTTTTTTTATTTTTTATTTTTTTCTTATTTNTTTTTTTTTTTTTTTTTTTTTTTTTTTTTTTTTTTTTTTTTTTGATTTTATTTTTTTTTATTTTATTTTTTTTTGATTTTATTTTCTTTTTTTTTTTTGTCATTTATTGTTGGTTTTTGAGATTTCTATATTTAAATAAATCTTTTCTTTTTTCTACTTATTTTACAACTATTTCTTAATATGTATATTTTTTTAAACTAGTGTGTTTGCAACTAGATTATAACCAGTACTTTAAGAATGATATAGTATGTACATACATATGTATGTAGCTTTATCTACATTACATTTTCTTTTGAAATTGAATTTTTGTTTACGCACAAATATGCGGTTAAAAGTCTATTTAAAATTTTATATAGTTTTCTTGCACTTTGAATGAGGTATGCGCGCATGCGCCATACAAATTTCTATAAGTAATAGATAAACAAATCGTACATAAAAAACAATTGCAAAAGTGTTAGCAATAATGCGTACTTCAAACGTACAACGAAAGCATATTAATTTTATTTTTAGCTACCAAGTACCACTAAATATACATATGTACATAAATATGTATACAGCGGCGGCGTACAAATGGCTGTGCGCATGCGAGAGAGTGCAAGCGAATTCACTTTTAATAACTAGCGGGTCTGTTGGTGTCACTCAAAATGGTGAAGTATTGAAATGCAAGGCCATTAATGCCAACTTTATATTACACACAAATGTAAATATGGGTGTATGTATTTTGACCAAAAGTAATTGAAAAAATGTTAACAAATAAGTTATACACAATTATATACATATTTACACATGTATGTATGTATGAACATTGGTATTTTTTAACATGTAAATGAGCCACCTTCATAAAAATATCAAAGCTCAAAACTCAAAGTGAAATGTCGTCAAAGCTTATTGACCGCCTGCTGACATACACGTATATATGTATATATTATACAAATATATGCATGTATATGCATATGTACGCTGTCTTCAGCCAAATGTCAGTCAATTTAACTGCTGCATGGTAAATTAAAAAAAAACAAGCAGACGAAAGAAAGTCAAAAGATTTTTCTTTTATGCGTATATGCCACTGATTGTACATATGCATGTACATATCTATATGTCGGTATGTCCAATATTTCAATAGCCACGTTTCCCAGCCGCTTTTGACCCGCTTTGACACACCTATTTGCGGCTTAAGTAGGCAAATATTCAACATTCGCCCATTCGCCGACTATAAAATGTGGAAATTTATAAGCAAAAAAGCATGCAAATTTCAAATTAACCGTCATTTTCGCCGGTTGTGACTTTTCGCCATGTGTCAAGCGACGAGTTTGACTGATTGTCATGTTTACTCTTCAACCGCCGCTTGAAGAGCTCAAATAATCTTTTTTGCTGTGCGTTGTTGCCTTTGCTGCCATTACCAGATCGCTTTTGTTTGTATGGGTGTGTGTGTTTAATATGTTTATTTGTTTATTTGATATTTCGTTTGTTATTTTTTTTTTAAGTTTTATATTTTTTTATTTCACATTCATTGGCTTGCCTGTCAATTCCGCGCTTTCGTTAGCATGCACAACTCGATACTTCATTGGTTATGCCGAGTCACATGTGCGAGTGACGAATTTTTAGTTTGATATTTTTCGCTTTAGCTTCTATTTTTTCCTTTCCATAGTACGAAATTTTTTTGGAAAAAACAAATTATCTCTGCGCTTATTAATTATTTATGTAAATTTTGGATTTTTTTCACTTATTTAAATTTTTATTATTTGTTTGCGCTCATTTCTGGAGCAAATTAATACGCTGTTGATAGCGATATCGCTCATCGATCACATGTGCAAATAAATATGTTCCAACAACAAAATGTTGGAAGGAAAAATATAATTATCATTTTTTTTTGTATATGCAAATGTATGTATGTAAGTATTATATGTGGGCATATAAGGGAAATTAATTAAGTAGTTAAATTAAAATTCCCATAAAATATCAGGTGTACAACTTTGCTTCCGCGAATTTTTTTTTTTTTTAAATTAAAAGCTTTATTGCGAAAAAGTGCTTACAGATATATTATTCAAAGTATTGTTCTTCGCTGGCAACAACTCTCTCCCATCTTTCCGACAATTTTCGGATCCCGACTCAAAAAAAGGAGTCCTCTTTTGACGCTATCCATGAGGCAATCCATTTTTCCAATTCTTCGAAGGATTGAAAATGTTGATCTGCCAGGCCGTGTGCCATCGAACGGAATTGGTGGAAGTTAGAACGGGCGACATCTAGTGAATATGGCGTGTAGGATAGGACTTCCCATTTCAGCGTTTCCAGGTACTTTTTGACCACTTTTGCGACGTAAGGCCGAGCATTGTCGTGTAGGAGGATGACTTTGTCATGTCGCTCTTGATATTGTGGCCGCTTTTCTTATAGCGCGCGACTAAGGTGCATCAGTTGCGTTCCGTAGTGATCTCCTGTGATGGTTTCACAGGAATCGTAACAATATCGACTAATTTCTGCAACGGATGGTGATTGGTGATGAAGAGTGGATCGCTAACAGCAACGTCAATCAGCCGATACAAATGGTCTCCAAAGCAATTTTGGCGTTGGTAAAGAATTATTTTTTAATAAAAATTCAATTCTTAAAATTGTAAGAGAATTTATTTTTATTGAACATCAAGGAGCGAATACTCTTTAAAACTTCAGGCTTGCAGCTTCACATTAATGCAACAGCTGACGGAGCCTATCAGCCGCGAAAGCATCGATTTGAATGACAATGCGAAAAAAAATTCAAAGTATGTTGAAGGTAGCTACAACCCTATGTATTGCAAATCCAATTCCACAATCAAAAAAAAAGCAACAACAAACACGCACATCCATAAATTCTTTAACCCCAAAACTCATCAGTATTCATTAACATTAAGTATGTATGTAAACCCATAAGCATGCAGCGCTTATTGATATTCGGCAGACGCACAAACAGACAGACAGATAAACGAGCCAAGCACTTAATTCATTACCAAAATGGCCAACGAATGACTACGACGAGGGCAATACGATTTCAACTGCAATAGAGCAATTAAATATGAATTTGCGGAACGAGCAAACATACAAATTCCACATAAACATACACTGTAATGGCAAAAGAACAAAAGGCAACAGAAAACTGACGAGTACATATTCACTCGTTCCTGGTATGTGTCCACTACAAGCGAGTGAGCCAATAAAATACGGAAATCAGATAGTCTAGACAGATTGCCATCAGTTTGTCATACGTGTGTTTGTATGTATATATATATAGGTATGAATGTTTGCAAATGTTTGTGACGCACGACACAAAGAGGCGCACCAGCGTCCAGCTGGCAAACACGGAAGTAAACAACCCCCGAAAGCGAAACGAGTACAGAGGACCGTAAGCCGCACCAGGCAGCAGCAGCAGCAGCAACAGCAGCAGACATAAAAAGCACAAAGAGTCAGCCGGCTATATTAATTCACGAAAACTGATATCTACATATACCTATATTCGAAATGTTTGACCGACAGTGCACACGGCGCGGCAAGCAATGAGTTGTAAAGGGCCAGAGGACAGCTGTAAGGGAACTAAACCAATTTGAGCGTAAAATGCGTACATATATAGGGATAGTTTATTTGCACGAGCGCCGAAAATGAAAAATTGGGACCTCCCTACCTGACGGTTAAATGTTGGGCGGTGATGTGCATAAAATTCGCGTATATGCCAATTTTTTAATCCCATCAGATAAAGTTGGAGATTAAAAAGTCAGTTAAATTCAAAAATCTGTGTATGCAAAAAAAATTGTTCATTAATACACATGTAAATCACAAGTGCTTTCATAACTCGTGAAGCGTAAGAAAGCTCAAAATATGAAAAAGAACAGGCAAGAAGCCAACACGGCCGAGCGACAACACAGAGCACTCACTACTCCCGACTCTTGGCACTGTTGGCCAACGCGATATTTGCAAAAAAGCCACAAAACCAGTTTACAAATTAATGTAGCAAAATAAAAAATAATAAAAAAAAAAACAAATAAATTTAATATTAGCCATGTGTATGTATATAAAAAAATGTTGGCAAAGAAAATACCGATAAAAATTAAAGAACAAACTTTATATGTATGTATATAAACTGAGATAAGTGGCATGCGGCATTCATATAATTCTTAAAAAGGAATTGGTATTGAAGAAATACAGAAATACAGAAATGAATGCAAATAAAATAATTCAAATAAATTCAGTTAATTCCTGCCCACGACTTCGAAATATGCTAATATCGTCATGTAACACGTTTAACTGAGTAATAAACCGGCACAATAAAAATATATTTTCTTTGCAAAACAATTTTCGATATTTTTTTGTTTTATATGTAGCATTTTTTGCTTTTTCTTTAACTTCTACTTTAATTTTTAATAAAAGAAATCTTTCCTCGAACCTATTGGCGTCTGCGTGCTATAAGTTAGGCATTTAATACTCGACACAAAACTAAAAAAATCAGATTTTTTACATAGTTCAGCCAGAAATTGGCCTCTTCCGCTGGCACTTCATGTCAAAGTTGATGTCGGAATTTGTTAAAAGCCAAAATTGTATTGAATACATATACCAGTCGGTCTTATTTGATATTGTTAGTGCTAAAGTTGCACTAGTTATTTTAATCACCAAAAATATTTTGTTATTATGAGCCTCAGGAATGCACTTCACTAGCACTTTCAAAATATTTATTGCAGGGAGCTTCAGACTCTTCTTAACATGCTATTAGATTATGAGAATTAACATATATAAAAATGACTTTTTACTGATTTTGTTTTACACAGCATTAAAAAGTCCAACAAGAATGACAGCAGTCAGCTGAGCTCCGTTAATCATTCACAATGGTTTTTGCTGTATAATTTAAGCCTGATGATTGAATTTTGTAACTACATTTGGATTATTTTTAACGAACATAGTAAGGTACATATTAATATTCATTTTCATCTTTTACACTTGTCAAGCACTCACCCAAAGTTGCGTTCCCCAACTCATCTTGTTGACACTTTCTGCTGCTTCGTCCATTTGTCAAGGCCGGGTAGTAAATCCACAAAACAGTAAGCTTTGGTATCCAAAAATATGTTTTTGTTCAATTCGCACTCTTCAATTGTAAGTGTTATTCGCAAAAATTCAGTATTTTTGCCAAAGTATATATTCACTACCTACTAATTTTTTTTTGTTTTTTTTTTTTGGTGGGGTAGAACACAACAATCGCGCCGACAATAAATGCAGGCGGATTAAAGAGTAATTTCGAATTCACACAAGCTTCTAGGAGGTTGAAATAAAAATTTCGATAAGAATATATTTTATTTATTATAAAAATTTACGATATTAATAAATTATTTATTTGCGTATATAAGTATATGCATACATACAAATGCATGCATGCATGCATAAGCGTGCGTATGTGATAAAGCGAAGCACTGCGGCGCGCAGGTAGAACCCGATGACGCTATAACAAGTTGCAGGTAAGACCGGAAAGAAAATATGTAAAGTAAACTGGTAATAAAGCTGAAACTGAATATATGTATGTAGGTATATTTCTTTTTGGATTTACTCCATATGCTTTGGAATGTGTGACGATGAGCTAGTGGTTGCGTTGTTTCACTGCATTCGCCTTCAAAGCGGTGACCACTTTACGAGAACAATAACAACAAGCTAAGGCATATGCTGCTATTTACATATAAGTAGAATTATTCCTTGTTGTTTTTATTTTCGTTACCTTTTCGGGCATTTATTGAAGTACGTTCACAAAGAAAAAGTTAAGAGGGTAGCGGTTTAAGAGAGGAATGTATTGATAAATATAGTTTACAAAGAGTACGCGCTTGGTAAATTTTGGATTTAGGTAACAACCTTTTAAGAACAAAAATAATTTAAAAAAAACGTTATTTAGTCTTCCTCACAAGCTAATTGAAGTCTTGGCAAAGAATTTATGAAAAATAGATTTCAGCTATGCTATTGTATTAAAAATATCAATCAAATAAAAAAGTTATTTGTGGTATTAGATTGCGATTTGTTTAATTAGTTGTTACACCAATACTACATAAAATACAATCGTGCATATGTATATGTCGGTAGTATAATAAACAAAAATTTATTTTGTGATAATTAGTTTTTCGGTTTGTTTTATTTTGCTTTTGTCTCTATGTTTACAACTTCCACAATGATTTTTTACAGAAAATTTAGCATTTCACTCAAATTTTTTAATTTGCAAATAAGAACAAATCAAAGAGAATATTAAACACATATTCCACTATTTAGCATTTTTTAATATAAAATTATTTAACCCATTTTATGAATTGCTTTCAAAATTTTAAGAAAATAACAATTCGATGGATGTTTTGAAAAAAAACAAAATTTTGCAACTTAACATGTTATTTTGTTCTTAATTGAAATAGTCAGAAATAAACACAATCACTTATAATTTTTCAGATAAAAATCGTAATATTTGTCTCAGGAGATACGCAAGAAAATTTGCACATTTGTATGGAGGAATTGCAATCGGCAATTCTCTTTTGTAGTTGTTTTTATGCTCTTTTATTGTATATACTTTTGTTTCGATGTTTCCCCAATTCACACCACCGTTCGCAGGTGTGCAATTGTATTTATCAACGTATATACTTATGTATATGTATGAGTGTGATTCACCCGTCTTCCATTAAATGCTCCACTATTAAATTTCTTATTACATATTTTTCTTAATCTCACGAAACCGCAGCCACCGCCCCTTTCGGTAGGCACTTCAGACTCACAATTTTCGTTAACGGAAATATTAGTTTAACACTATAGATTTTTGCATCTAATAAATATATACATCGATAGGAATTTTTTCACCAATCACTTAAAAAACAACAACAATAACGCGGAGTTGCAAACGAGTTGCCGCAACTATACCCTATTTACCTGGAAATTCACTCGAAAACTGACTCGTTCTTTGCTTTCAGGTTTTCGTTAACACTGGCTGCTACAGTGATGCCAAGTTAGGTATATTTCACAGGGTTGCAATTGGGGTGTGTATTCGGGTATGAAATGAATTGAGTTGCGAGTCACTCGGTTTTTAATGAAACATGAAGCAGCGGTTACTTACTTAAAGTGAGATATCTATAATCTTAGCAAATCTTTAATGTAGTTGCTTTTCTTAGCTTGGGAGCTGTCAAAGTTAGTCGACGTCACCGGAATCATACAATAGGAGGACGACTGGTTCGCATGAGAGGGAGAGATATGATAGAACAGTGGAACAGATAGGCATGCAAGGATGTGATTTAATCACGTGAGACTCATTGCTTCCTGAATGTACACGCATACCTTGTATATGTTGGATTCGGGTCGAAATTTAATTGTAGTAGTTTTCATTGGCCTCGTTAGACAGTTCATTGTTTTCTTCTGCTAAGGGGCGATTTAAATGATACCGTTTACAGTAGGAGAGTTAATGGAGATGTTAACAAATTCTCTGAATGGCATATAAAGCCTGGCTGTAATTCGTTGCATCCAAAGGTTGCTGGCAGGCCTGGGGTTTCTCCAGCTGTGATAGGCTCAAAAACACTACCAAAGTAGTTTTAGGGAATGTTGCTGGCGTGACAATGCCGAATGAAAATCCGGGTCGTTACGGCTGATGCTCTGCGTGTCTGGGGACAAACGGGGTCATCTAATTCAACAGTTCCAAGGCGACTTGTTTAAAATTCCTGTGGCTGGAGTTTCGATCGCAAAGTTTTTGCGATGCGGTAATAAAGCGTCCTTCATGCCCGAGAGTAGTGTGAAAAGTTTTTAACCGGCCACATGATACCTCTGGTTATTTACGGTGCTAAGTGGAGTGATAGATTTGGGAAATCTATTGTGCTGCGATGTTGAGCACATGTGGTAAAGTGTCTTTATTAGGGGCAGATACATTTATCTTTTTAGGTTGTTCCCCCGATTTCAGAAGCGGGTCCACTCCACTCTGTGAATATATCGAATACTTTTAGAGTTTCGGAGACAGATTGAGAATCTTGGTCGCGTTTCATAGTCTGCATGCTTGTACCGTATTGGATTTCGGATTTTCACAGATGATGGTTGATGTAGAGAGTGCTCTGAAGGTGTTCCGGCGTACTGTGGTGTTCTTAAAGATAATTTTCAGCATAATTAAACGTGCCCAGAATGTCACAGAACAACCGCTACATGTAACTTTATGAATTTACATACCTCACAGTTTAACTAAACAAATGTTTACTAAATTACTTTTCATTGATTTATTGTTTCAGTTATTGGCTTACGCATTTTTGTTTGTATCCACACCCTATACATTTTTAGCATACGACCGCGATTGACTTGGAGCCGACGGTCTACAACGCTCTGCTCCTCCACGAAACCGGCTTTACAGAAAAGATCCCGTACCTCTTCTTGTGTAAAGAAGTATACCAATGTCCCATCACCACGCACATAGAAATTATCCTCCAAACATTTACCGCTTTTGAAACGCAACTGTGCCATATCATAACGACCATAGTCACGAAAAAGTAACAACCCGCCCGGACGCAAGTAACGAAAACAATTACCAGCTACACGACTCATTTTGGTGGGTTCAATAGCCGAGAGTACAAAAATTAACACTATGATATCTAATGAACCTTCAGCAAAAGGCACAGACCATTCATCGAGCGTTGCATCCATAACGAAGACTTCACAACGTTTGGTATCGTAATCCTTACTCGTTTTCAAAATTTCAATGGCACGTTCGGAAAAATCGCAGCCATAAACTTTTAACTGCGGTTCATTGCTATATTTCAAAATAGGCAATATCGTGTTTCCAACACCACAGCCTAATTCAAATATACTACGTGGCTTTTGGTCTTCGGCAGCATGGGGCGCAGCAAGTTCAGTAAACTCTGTAAATAACCAATGGCGATCTTTAAAGAAACGATTTTGATGTACACCATAAAACGAGTCCCAAAACTTGTCAGCATCATTTTGAAACTTTTCTTTATCTTCCGCATTCATTTTCTGGGTAGAATTTTTAGTCACAGCAGCAAGTGCTTCTTTCTCTTGTTCCTCATCCCATTCAACGTTGTCCCTAATGAAGGTGAATAGAAAAAGAAAATAATAATATTATATTGTAGTAATTTGGTGTACAATACCAGGCATTAAATTCATATATTTCACGTGGATCATTTAAATAACGACCACCTAGCGCTGGTTTTTTTCGATAACGCGTGTGCCCCCAACCTGAGCAAAGGCGAAAGTTCAAGGCATACTTCACATATTTACCAAGCGTTGTGTTTAAAGACATCATTATCATCGGTCAGAAAACGATTTCCAAACTTTGGGCGCTTATCCTCGGTGGTTTCAGTCAGCTCTGCAGGATTTGCAGCATTCCCAGGTGTACTCATGTTAATTTATTTATTTTTACGTATGTGTAATTTAGTACCATATGATTTGCATATGTTTACATTTAGATTTGTATGTGCTGCTTCTTTTTATTGTAGCCATTCACGATGGTGCGTACAGGTAATGAGTCACAAAAAATTGATGTAAATACTTTTCTGCGAATACTTTTAGAAATTTTAATCTATTCATAAGAAAATATGAAGAAAAAATATTTTAAATTCATTTTTCTTGGTTTTCCGATGCTTCGCTTTTGTTTAGTTTCATAAATTTTCAACTATTTAAGTGTATTGAGGATATATTAGCAAAGAACGTATATTAATATACGTTCTTTGATATTAGTTCTTAGAAAGCGAGATGCAAGCGAGTAGGTAACCCTAAAGCGTCCGTAGGAAAACGAATATTCGAAACGGAACTCCGCCATGGCTTTTGCGAAAAAGACGGATTTTCAGCATAAAATTCAAAATGGGTTTTCAAACATATTTACGCAAAATATGCATACATACATACCAAACTAATGTGTGTGTGTGTATATTTAAAAATATAGCTATATACATACATACATATGTATGCAGGTAGTTAAAATGATTAGTAACCTAAGTCGGCCGCTGAAATGCATAGTTCGCAATACATACATACATTTGAGCGAAGTCGCCGCTTTGTCCTCCTCAATGTGGCTACCTGTGCTTGCTAAGGCTCAGTGATGTAATATACCAACAAAAGAAGAGAGCAATAAATTTCCTAAATATCCGTGGCTCAGTTTCGTTTAGTATTGGTTTTGTCCTTGCGGAGTACGGTTTACTGTGTTTTACATTTCAGAAAAAAAAAAAATTATAAAATATCAAGTGATAATGGAAACAATGATAATGGAAATAGATGAGTGTCCAACGAAAATTTTTGATCTACCCGACGATTGTCTCGGAAAGATATTTGACTATTTACCAGGACATCATATGACCAAGAAATTCGCTTCTATTTGTAAACGATTTGCTCAAATATACTGTGACAACTATAAGCATAAACTAATTTTGGAGGGCTGTGACCTAACCGTTCTCGATAAATATAAAATAGGAATATTCGGAGAATTTATTGACGAGGATTTCTTTCCATTGAAAAATTTGAAAACATTAAAATTGAATAAGGTCTCTGCAAAATCTTTTACGCCAAAATTTCTTAACTCCATACGACGCGATCATCATGGTATCGAAGTAGTTGAACTGACTGGATTTACAGATAACGAAGTAGAGCACCTTCTGCCGCTGCCGAATGTGAAAAGTCTGAAATTAAGTTTATGCGACGTGTCAGGTATGTACCGCATAAGATACTTGTGTTTTGTACATGTGCATATGTGTATGTGACTAAATTTTTCTTTTTAATCACAGGTGAATATATGGAAGGCTTTCGAAAACTAGAGGAATTAATATTGGACTCGACATCGAAATTCCATTCTGTATTTTTATTGAAAATTGTTAAAAACAATAATTTACGTAAACTAATAGTGCGGGGCTCACCGTTTGCTTTAACACCACATTACGTCGATAAAATCATACCGTTCATAAATAACATAGAAGAATTGGAATGCAGCTGGTATGAAATAAGTTTCTGTTGTGGTGTCATAGGCAAATTACCTCATCTGAAAACATTAATTTTAAACAATTTCAAAACGACACTCTGCATCAGATGTCAAAAGCTTGATAATGGTGAACTCCGTTTACCCACCAGCCCATTTTGGGTATGTAAGTGTGGCCCATACGATGCACTGCCCTTGTTTACGGGTTTATATGAAAAAAATATCTTGGAAAGACTAACTTTCATCGGTTCACGTATAACGCAAAGGGATATTTCTCACATTGGAAAATTGAAGAGATTGAAGAAAATTCATATTGGCATGGATAAAGTGCCAGTGTTTATATCGCTTGAAGGTTTTCACTGTATGCGAGATTTGGAAGAACTCGATATTGGTTACTCATACAAACTGCCGACAGAAGTTTTAGGGCTACTAGAAAATTGTCAAAATTTGAAATTTATAAATATCGGTAATTGTCGTGGATATACGAAAGGCTTCCTCTACAGAGTTATCGATATTATAAAGGAAAGGGGTGTGCCCGATGAGGAGCCCGTAAAAATACAACTCGTTAATCCGAGAATGAGTAGATCGCTTCTGATGGTAAGTTGTAGCTTTAATTTATGTACTATACTTGTGATTTCCTTTTAAACATTGTTTTTATGCATATCCTTTTTATTTTTTTTAGCACCCGGATATTGTGGCTGCCTCGAATATCGTATCATTCGAAATATTTAGGGCATATGATTCCTTTTGCAGATTTCATTCCAGACCCCCCGTTTTTTACATTTGTTGAAAGAAAAGTTTATAAAAGTTTTCAAAGCACAAAACTAGCGTTTGCGGTGCAAAAACCGTCGAGACATTTTAAATTACATAAACGAAATTAAATGATGGAAAAATATATATACATATATTTTGAAATGGAAAAAGAAGTAATATTATCATTAATAAATATAATTAATAAAACACATCAAATCCCTGCAAGAAAGCTTCCGAATATTAGAGCAAACATATCCCTCCAAGAAGGCTTCCGATCATTAGAGCCAACATATGCCTGTAAGAAGACTTCCGATCATAAGAGCCATCATCTATGAGGACTGCATGACGACATATCCCGTCAGCTCGTAAAACGATTTGCCTATCACTTTCTTAAGGCCGAAATGATAAACGTGATGTTTACATTTGTAAACGTGTACGTCATTCTCTCTTCGTTTCCTTGTGCATTTTTGTCATTCTTGTCGGACAAGCCGAACAGAGCTGAGCGTCAGCATTGATACCAAAAAAACAGCTGCAGTGCCGTTCAGCCGAACACAAATGAGCGACAGCATTGATGTCGAAGGAAATCAGCTTTGACAAAAATTTCATATATACATAAATACAAACATTATGAAGATTATGTGCATGGTTTACATAGCATACAATAGAAATAACAATACAACAATAAATTCGGTACAAAAATCAGCAAAATATTATAAGCAAAACCGCATATACAGAAGAAGTCTTTGATAGTGACACAGCTCCTCAGCTAAACGAACGCCTCCGTCATAATCGCAGCTCCTTTGAATTATAAAGACATCTTAGTGGAAAATAATAATGTGTCAATAATAATATTATTAATGTCTAAATGCTGTTGTACCTTGCACAGTTTTATTGAATATTTTTAAATCGGCAACGGCAGCAAGATGAGAAGCTTCCATTACAGTCAAACTGCTCCATTAGCTGATCTTTCCGTAGGACAAAATATATCATTACCATCACTTCTATCTACTACGGAGAAAACGATAAAAAATGGTGTTCTACTCGAAAATAAGAACAAAGAAAATCGGATAATCCGTACAACGGCATTCTTCTTCAATTTGTATGTACTCAGAAGATAAACAAAAAATGTGCATCTGTGTTAGAGCTGCCCGAAATCGTGTGAGTGTATTGGTGAACTCATCAGCCCGTTCTTGCAGGGAATGCCAAAAAAAGCAATTAAACTTGTGAAAGCGGACCTTTTCAAACGAATTATTTACTAGAAAATGTGTTCAATCAAAATGTAAGTTTATGGTTTGTAGAAGGAAAGAAACATATACATACATATATATTTATATATATTTTGTAATTGCAATTTTAATAAACTTATGCAAAATTCTCACAAGAAACTATAAAATTAATAACAAACATGTACCTTCCGCAATTTAAGTTATTGAAATTCAGCACTAAAAAAAATATAAAAAAATATAAAAAAAAATAAAAAAATATAAACAAAAATATAGCAGAATTTAATAAATAAATGTAATAATTATATTAATTTCAATGTACCTAATAAATGTTTATAATTATTATATAATCAATTGATGTTCTTCTGCTTTACTGATTATCATATTTTTTACTGGCGTAGGCAGTCGTTTTTTCCATCCAGCCATCCAGCCATCCAGCCTGCCATCTGATCTCTGCAACTGAGAGGAGATCTGCTTCTACCTTTCCTGCTTTCCACCAGCCGACAATGCATCGAATGCTTTCATTCATCCGAACAATTTGACATAGCGACGGCCTTTTCAGTCGCTGAGGTTTTGCTTAATGACAGGAGATACTTCGTACTCACCTCGCTCAACTTCAGGCTTATACATCTCATTCAACACCAGACCTATTCACTTCGCTTCCTTATCTCCTCATTCATCTTCTTTTTGCGCCATTCATTCCTTTTTTCGCCAGTTTTGCGCCAATTGGAACTACAAAATGCAGTCAGGTCCTCTTCTACTTGGTCTTGCCAACGGAATCGAGGTGTTTTACTTCGTCTAATTCCAGCAGTGGATATTACATCGAAAACTTTCAAGTCTCGAGTGTATTCTCATCCATTCGGGCCACATGACTTAGTCAGTGGAGCCGCTGTTTCTTGATACGCTGAATTATGTCAATGTCGCCGTACATCTCATACAGCTCATCATTCCGCCGACTGCGGTCTTCGCCGTTCCCAACTCGTAGAGGACCATAAACCTTACGCAAAACCTCTCCTAACACCGGGTCATCAGTTGTTATCATCGCATATGCCTCTGCACCATATACATACGTCTACTAGGACTTGTGATGAAAAGAGATATTTCGTTTTTACCAGTCTGGGGGAAAGTTACGACGCGGTTGTTGAGGCCACTAGTGTCAATATCATCGGCTTCTCAAGATCTTCCTACTCACGCATTTCGGCTTATTTCTTATTTTTCCTGTACATCCGTCTTGTTTCCGCAGTGCATACATTACCAGCAATTTCCGCGACCTTTCGAAAGCCATAGTTTTGCTTGCAGCTGTACCTGTGGAGCTTGAAATTCCGTCGCACAGCTCCCTTCTACCGAGGCGGATGCGTATCTTTGCTGCTACAAGAGAGTGGTCCGAGCCGCTGCTCGGATTGTGTGAATGTCAAGAACGCTGAAGACATAGATATCTTTCGTCTATCACAACATGATCGATCTGATTTTGGGTTTTTCGTTAAACCCATTAGGGAATGTTTCGTTGTGAAGGCTGAATTTCCCAACAGTCGTATTAAATATACCTTCTGACCCCACCGATTTTACCACCAAATCGTTCTTCACTTCCGTCGGGGCGTGGGCGCAAATCAAGAATATGCCAAAAATTGTTGCTCTGTTACGGAGTCTCTTCCCCAACACAAATATAAAAGTCACAAAGACCTACTATCTTTTTTCTTTGTTCCCTACATCGCACTTCTTGAACGGCGGCGATGTCAGTCTTTATTCCCTCGTGCTGGGCAGCGGTACCTTTCCAATTAAGAGACCGGACATGGATGGGACGTCATCAGAAGAGTTGTATCGAATCCGAGGCATGAATAGATGTTTCATTGGAGCTGGATACTACATGGCGGGTCCCAAATCCAGCACACAACCTCGCTAGGCGACTAAGTTTAAAGTTTTTACACATTTATATAGCGAGCATCTTGCTTCAAGACCGACGACCGCTCGCAGCCGCACCTCTGGTGAACACACACTTCAATGACTTAAGCGGGCCTTTAAACCGAGTAAGTCGGAGTGGCTCCACTAAAGTTTCCTCTCTTGCAGCCGTGACCCAAGACTCCACATGGGTTGGTTACCGCATCTTACTCAAGGGTTACTAACATTTCCATGATGTGCGACGTGGACGCAAGAGTAGGAATTGAGTATAGCCCAGCAACTGTAACTGCATATCTTCCGACAGTCAAGATCTCTACAATGTAACAGTATCACCTCAAGGTGGCTTTACTATGTAGAACAAATCTGAAGAAAGTATGGTCTAAATGCAATACAGCCGTGGCCTGGGTATGTGGACAAAAGTGACAACCTAGGCAATTGTATGGCAGACGAACTGGCGGGAGAAGGAACTCTTCTATCCACAATAAAACAAGCCAACGATGCTTTGTCAAAGACATCTTGAGAAAGTGAAGAGAGGAGCCCCACAGCGGTATCTCAAAGTGCGTTGGACACTGACCAACAGCCGCATCAACTCGACTCAACTCATCTCAAGGGGAGTGAGCAGGCGCAAATGGTCTCCAAGCCAGGATTAACGCCAGGAATGGTTTGTTGTATTTTTGTTGGAATTGCCAAAGAATTATCTGAATATTGGATAACTCTTTAGTGGACATTATATATATGTACGATTAAGCAGAATGCCCATAGCGTCTTTCCTTTTCTGCAGTAAGCAAGCCGTTGATATTTCATATAAAGCGAGCCTCTTTCAGTGCCAGATCTACGTCAATGGTTGCAACCAATAAACATATTACAATAAGCACATAAATTCCTTTACATGCATGTGTTTAAATATGTATGTACGTGTCCTTTGGTTCCTTTTAAGAACTTGCCGTTAGCTAAAAATAGATTTCTCAGATGTCACACTTTGAATTTAAATTCCCCATTTTTTTTCGCTTTTCAATTGCAAAACGCAATTTCATTCATGAGCATCTACAACAAAACAAAGCAGATATGTATTTCCAATGGCCAATACTCCAAGTCTCCAATAGTCTCCAGCACAATGTTTTCGCACTGAGTTTGCGCAAAGCGGAAGTCGTTCGACTGAAGGAAAGTAGCAAATATCGTATGAATTTCGGCATTACCAGTTGCGGTCTCATTTCCGCTTGTGTGACGGTGGACAAGTAAAAATCTAACACTCTCACACACACACACACACACACACACACATGCGCGCATATAAAAAATATTGAAAATTCCAATTTATTTCGTATGGTTTCGAATGCTCACTATACGAGCGACGAGTAGCTGTAAACGAGCAATGGAAGAAATTTTCGCAGTTGCTTAAAAATTTACCGTAAGTGAAAATGTGTTTTTAATGCAGCAAATTAATAAGGAAAATATATTTAAATTATAAAAAAAGTGTAAAGTAAATGGTATAGTTAACAAAAATTCAAGCAAACAATAAGAGTTAAGAAGTTTGCTGGTTTTTTTGTGTGAAATTAAAATTTTATTCAACTCACAGAATAAAAGAATATTGCAGTGGTGGTACATGTGTCACTAATGTGATGATGTGAAAATTTTCATTGATTTTTTCTACCAGCAAATGTTATGGAAAATTGTGAAAGATTTATTAAATTTCATACAAATTTGTATAGTAAAGTGTTAAAAAAAATATATTTTAATTAAAAATAAAGTATTTAATAAGAAGAAAATTTTTAGTTCTAAAATTGTAAAAATTAAAAATTTGTTTTAGAGTTTTTCCTAATACAATAAAAAAGTATTAAATCCCAATTTCATTATTTTCTTCTTTCAAACAAAATAAATCAGTGTCTAATATCAAGCGTTAAATTAATTGCATTATCCAGCTAGAGGAAAAGGGTAGAAAAAATAAGTGAAGGAAATTCTGCGAGTCATCCAGCGTAAAAGTCAGGCAGGCGAAATAAAATATAACGTATAATCTCTACTAAATTTCGAACGAACTTCGAATGCCAAAAGCTACATAATTTCGAAAACAACCCTCTAATAAGCGCATTTCCAACACATAAAAAGCAATAAACCAAAAAAAGAAAAGGTAAAACCAAAACACAACACCAATTCGCCCGCCATCCAAACGTTAACCCTCTGCTGTGTGTGTACGTGTATTTGTGCGTGGTGAGTAAGCAAAGTCAAACTGTCAACGTGTTAACCGTCCAAATGTTATTCAATGTTTTGCACTGTTTTTTTTTTTCTCTTATTACTCTACATTTTCTCACGCATTACAGTTGGCCGTCAGTGTCGGTGCTAGCATCCCAAGTAACCCAAAGTGTATTTCTGCAGACAAAATAGCAAATTTGCGGTTTATCTATAGCCTACCTGCCGCACCCCAATCGCCCACTCACCTCTGCATACGGCACAGCAGCCGAAATCAGTAACATCAGAAGTAACAGCAACAGTAACAGCAACAGTAGCAGTAGCAGCAGCAGTAGTAGTAGCGGCGGCGCCAGCAACTAATATTCAATTTCTCTCAGTGCTCAGTGCTTTTAGTGCAGTCGTCGCAGTCTCAGTCGCAGTAGCGAAACAAAGCGAGGAAAATGTAAGTAGCTGCCATTATTGATTTTGCAATTCATTATTAATTCTTTTTTTTCACATATGTGTGTATGTGTGTCAATTTTCACGTTTCTTTCAATTTATTGCATTTACTATTATTATTTTAATTGGTGTGTGTTTTTTTTTTAATAAATAATTTGTGTATTTTATGGCGAAAATACCAAGATTTTGTGCTGTGTTGGTGGTCAATAATCATAACAATCAATTGTGTTGGAAAAGCAAGGGAAGAAAAAAAAAACAAGATGGTTGACGCCAAACAGTGGGTTGTTGAAAGATATCGATAACCACTTAATACAAAGCATATTTATACATAATTTATGCATGCATACATACAAGCGCTTGCAAGTTTATTTGTTGGGCTTAATGTCTTGCCTTTAGATTCCCTCCTCTATATGTACTGTCCTTATCGGCAGTGGCAGTGGGTTCAAGGCGAAGCGTTATTAGTGTTATGCTCCCAAAAGTAGACTACTATTTACTTGCCCTATTGTACTTTAAATGGAAATGGTAAAATAGCATAATAAATAATAAATTACGCACTAACACTTATTGCAAACAGAACGTCAGCCGATAAATATAGGGTTATCTATTTTGTAGTTTCCAAAGTACAGTTCCATATTTTGGCATCCGTCAAACTAAAAATTGTTAAAAATGGTGATTCCAACGTGTCTACGTTTCGGCAATTTTCCGAACAGACTGTAGAAGAAACAATTCACAGAAATGGTTAGAGTATCCGAAACAATCATTTTCAAAATCCTGCCGAGAATACTCATGCTGTAACGCCCACAGTGATCACATGTATTTTCGGACCTCTGTTATGGAGGGAGAAAAAAATGAGGGGGTTGGCATTCCTTGCCTATTGGCGACCGCAATTAGAAAATTTAACTTAATTTTTTATTTAAATTAATTTTCTATAACTTTTTGGATGTTAGTACGGCATCGAATGGCAGTACGCAATGCTAGCCTCTCGCCCAACGCGACTTTAAGTCATAAGCTGTTGGACGAAAGAAAGCGCAGCTGCATTTTCCATATTTACGTAACTACCATTAAGCAGTTAAGAATCGTTTGAAGACAGGGACTGAAATAAATATCTAAAATTTATTACCATTTTGCACTTAAATAGCTTTTCTAAATTTGTTTATAGAAATTCTTCATTTAAGCGCCTGCATTTGATGAAGCATAAAATTATTGTGAATTTCACTTTTGTTTGAATTGTTCACAATGGCATATTTCTGTCAGATTGATTTGCTTTGTTTACAAATTGAATAAACTGAAATGAAATCAAAAGAATAGCGCCAATTAACAACAAATATTAATAGTTTCTTACAAATTCAAGAAAATTAATTGAATTTAGGCAAGAGTTGAGGCAAAATACGTTTATTGTAAGTGATTACGACGAAGTTGGTGCTCGAGATGCCATTAGAACTCAGCAAAAGTATGGAGAACGACTGAAGTGTGCTACATTCGATTTGTAGCTTATAATAAGATTCTTAGCTCATTATTTTTTTTCCGACCACTGTAAACCAGTGTAAGCTGTTGTAATTGTAGCCGCATTGATGTTTTTGAACCGGCAAAGCAACCGCTTTGAAATTTCTGCAATAAACGCAGGCAATCATACATACATGCACGTACATACATACTCGTGTATACACAATCAATTGTTAAACCCCAAGAGATTGTTTTTATTATTAATTAATAATTATGTCTCACATTACAGCTGCCAATATTGCGATATATATAGTAATGAGTTTGGTTAGTTGATTATTGTTGGAGGAGTAGAAGGCTATTGATATGCCATCGCCATTAATTGTTGTACCACTGAGGGAAAATATTATACTTGTATATAGTTTTTAATACTTTGCGTGTAAATATCTGATGATTTGGCACAAGTTTACTGCTTTCTTTTCTTTATTAATATCGCAAGAAAACTTGGCAACCTGCGTATTTTACATTATTGATTTTGTGCCATAAAAGTATGTACATTCATACAGATACATATATATATGAAACATGAAGAATTTGTGCGCTGTAATTCCATTGGCGTCAATCTTATCCGTTTGGGTATTTATTTAGTTTTATATTAGTCCCTGGTGGTTCATAAATACAATTTTTATAATTTTATCTGTTTCTTCTCAATTTCTAATATAAGGGGTGTTTTTTTAGACGTGTGGTTTTCAATGAGACAATACTTTTTCGGAGTTGATCCTCTTGACAGCTTACTAAACAGACGTACTCCGGAAAAATGAGTAGGTAGTTACAATACTCCAAGGGATAGGTTGGAAATAAACACGGACGGATCAAAGCTTGAGGGGAGAGTTGGCGGAGGTGTCTTCTTAAAAAACACTCCAATGGAACTCTCGTTCAAACTACCTGACCATTGCATTATTTTCCAAACGGAGATATCTATTATATGGAGGAGTTGGAACTGGTTGAACAGAACTGACTGAATATACTGTCTTTTACATGGGTCTCTAGCCACTGGGACATCGAGGGAAACTGTAAGGCGAATGAGCTTGCTAAGCTTGCTAACTTGGTACGACCAAGAAGATTCTTTATATTTATATAATTAATATTAAAACCTGCCGCAAATCTAGACACACCTGGCTGGAAAGGAATAAGAAGACATCAAGAGATATGTGCACCTTAATAAGAGATGACATGCTGCAGAAGTTGCAAGAAGGCTGCGACTGTCCTGCTTTGAGCAGTGTCAGAATTCGGAATTTCGGGACCCTATTGCTGAATGGTCTATCGAAGATAGCTGACGGTAAAGTCTTGAGGTTCATTACAGAATCAAAATGGATGGATGATGAGACCTGATGGTTAAGTTTTTGTGATATCACAATGAGTTTTATACAAAACCCTTTTCTCGAAAATCCGTAATGCCGACCCTTTGGGTGTCGAGGTCGTCAATGCTTCTGAACGATATAGCAAGTGGGTAATGATGGTATACTTGTAGAGCCTGCTCAGTCCAATAGTAATTTTGCGTTGGATTTCCATGCTTACATTGCTGTTGGTGATGATGTTAGTGTCAAGATAGATGCTATCTACGACCACAAAGTTATGACTGTCAACGCTGACGTGGGAGCCGAGTCGTGAATTTGATGACTGTTAGTTTGATGACAGGGAATATTTCGTCTCGCCTCGTTATCAAGTCGGGATAAAGCCTAACTAACGTTGAGGTTATTAACGCCTAAAATATCAAGGTCATCGGCCATACGGCCTGCAGAAGAATGCCCTTTGTCTATTTAGTACGGCAACTCTTATTATAATACAATAAAGCGTCGTCCTGTCTGAAACTTCGTTTGATCCCGAATGACTCGGACAAATACTTCTCAGTTTCAGTGTTGTCCAGCGTCAGTTTACATATCCAATATAAGTTTCGCCGGAATACCAAGTTGAACAGCGTAAATGCAGCTCCACTTCAAATTGTATTTACATTTTGAGATCTAAATCGGTACGAAAACAATGCCTATCGGTTCGATAGAAATTTGGTATTTTGTACCAAGATAAGAGGAGAACTACTTGAACAATGCTGAAAAACAAAGAAGCTAGAAGTATGGATGTATGAGTTAGGGAGAAAAAAATCTCTTGGACCGAATGTCCATTTGCGAATCGCTGCTTAATCATAACAAAACTGACCCATTTCTGAGCCGGCGATGACTGGTGACTGAAAAAGTGGATCACTTACAGATTTGTCGAACAAAAACAGTTGTGGTCGAAGGGCAGTGAGCCGGCACAAACGGTTTCCCAGACAGTATTAACGTCTGGTAAGGTTTTGTTGTGAGTTTGGTGGGATTGGCAAGGAACTATGAACTATAAGCTGCTTCCTGCTCCCTACTGTCAGCAAATTGAACTTTCTGGAAGAAGCAATCACCCATAAAAGCACAGCTGTGGCCCACAGGAGGGGAATTACATTTCATAAAAATAACTTCAGGCCACGCGCATTGATAGTGTCTCGTCAAAGAGCTTGGTTGAGTCCAAACCTCGCAAAAAGTGACTAATATCTCTTCCTGTCTATGGCGTATGATTTGAATGGTGAAGAATTGGCCTCAAGAGAAGACTGTGAAAATCGATTGTTCCAGTTTATTGCCAATAGGGACAAGGGTATCTATGAGAGAGGCATAATCATATTACCTTCGAAGGGGCAAAAAGTTATCGAGCAAAACTTCGTGGCGTATTTGACATCAAGTGGAAAATTCGATTTGATGCCAAAATACTGGATTACTTTTTACTATGCCAATATAATGTTTAAAGAATATTTTTATTTTTTTATCGATAACATCACACACACATTTATTTCACTTTAATTTTAAAAAATGTTTATTATTTCAATTTCAAGCTCAACGTTAAAACAAAAATATTTAAATCTTTGAAACAAAAATGGGCAAGAAAGATAAGAAGAAGGAGGAGTAAGTAAATATGACTTAAATAAAAATAAATAAAAAATGTCGGTTATCGCTAAAATGCTTCAAAATGTAATAAGTGTATAAAGCCTAAACGAATTGAAGTGCAAAGTAGATAATTTTAGATAATTATAAAGGCAGAATGTTAAAAAAAAACAGTTAATTATACTATAACAAATGTATTAAATAAACTTTATTCAATTTATTTTTTTTTATTTTTTAATAAGAATTCAAATATTTTGATTTAAATTTATTATTGTTTGTATTTGTTCTTTAATTTTAATTAATTTTTTAGTTAATTGATTTTATTAAATTATAATAAGAATTGTTATGAAATATTATAAAATTATTGTTATTTTTTTTAATCACAATTACTTAGGGCGGAACCAGCACCAGCTGCCGATGCACCACCAGCTGATAATGCCGCAGGTGAGGGTGGCGATGGTGAGATCGTTGGTGGACCACGCAATCCTCAACAGATTGCAGCACAAAAACGATTACAGCAAACGCAGGCACAAGTCGATGAGGTGAGTAAAAGTGAATGCATTTTTTGGAAATGAGTGAGTATTATTGTGAATGAGTTAGGGGGCGTTGATAATCGCTGGCAAAAGGCAAAAGTTCTGTTCTGTAATCTGATGGGCAGTAACAATTGTTACTGAATTTTACTTGAGACAGAAAAACCACTAAAATTTGCATAAAGTGAGCGCAATTTTGACATTTCGTTACTGCTTAATTCTTACTGTTATTTCTCACCGAGCAGAGTTATCCATTTTGTTATTTTGAAAATAAATGTAAATAAAATGTTTTTAAAATTTTGTTTCATGAAATTGGCTTTTGGTTTCAAAGTTTGAGTCTTTGCATTATATATGAAGCACAACATCATGAAAACTTCAATCTGTTTGAGGTAATTCTCGACCACTTTTCGGTGCACATTGGGTAGTATCTCAACCATAACTTGACGAATATTGGTTTGCAAGTGCTAAAGAGTTAAGGGTTTGTCCGCATAAGCATGGTCTCACAATAAAGGCATATTCGCTCATGTTGCCAACATCTTGCTTCAAGCACATAGCATACAAGTCGTGTTCTTCAATTGCTGGTCAAAAAAAGTCGGTTAGCATACTACCATGGCAGTCTTGTCGCTGTCATTTTCAAAGAAGTAAGGTCCAATAACACCTCCAAATCGAAGAGCGCAGTATGTTTTTTTTTTTTTTTTTTAGTGTAATGGCGTGTCTTCAATTATTTGAGTTGAGTATACTCGGCCCACAAAACGAAAGTTTTGCTTATTTATGCATCTACCAAGTGACAACTATGCTTTGTCGCTGAAGCAAATTCTGTTCGAAAAATCGCCGACCATTTCCTGTTGATCAAGTGCCCAATGAAGGAATGTGCGACGTTTTGAATGATCAGCTGGTTTCAGTTGCTGTGTGAGTTCTACTTTATATGGATTTGCAAAATACGGCAAAATTTTCCTTAGAATGACGAGAAAGAGGTGCATTAGGATCTGCAACAACACTTTCGAATGGCAATTTCTATAACCGATTCAGTCACTTCAAAATTCTCTAACGTGGCCACCTTTGTATCACCACTTTTTTTTAGTGGGTCTTAATAATTTTAACGTCTTGCGTGGTTGTTAAGCGATACATTTCCATAAATGTCTAACTTTTCACTAAAACAAAACATGTTTGGTTTCATAGTTAAGTTTGACAGTTGTCAAATTATAGCTCTGTACTACTGAGACCTAGAAATGGATAACTTCATATTATTGGAATCAAGTGAGCATTATTGTGAATGAGTTGGGATATTGAAGAAGAAATATGGAAATATGGAAATTATTCTATGTTGATTCATTAAATAAATTCTATGCGTTCGCTCATTTATTTACTTCTTACCTCCATATGTGTACATACATACGCACAGGTTGTCGATATTATGCGAACAAATGTTGAGAAGGTGCTTGAGAGAGATCAGAAGCTATCGGAATTGGATGATCGAGCTGATGCCTTACAGCAGGGTGCTTCGCAATTTGAGCAACAAGCTGGTAAACTAAAACGAAAATTTTGGTTGCAAAACTTGAAGGTATGAAATAAATGAATTTTATAAAATTTAATAATATGCAGTTAATGAATATTTATGTATGTCCGTTCGTAGATGATGATTATTATGGGCGTTATTGGACTGGTTATTGTGGGCATTATTGCAAGTAAGTGGCGAGAAATTGAAAATACTTTACTAAAAAATGAATGTTGGAAAACTTTGAAAAATAAATATTCAAAAAAAAAATGTTTAATATTTCAACATGTAAACTGCCTAAAAGTGGCTTACACTACATACATACCTTTCTAAATAGATATTACGAAAGCGCCTCTTGAAATGTTTGAAATTAAAGTTTTGCACAATTTACTTTTTTTACTTAAAATTTCAACTTTTTTCAATAGCGAAATAAATAGATTTAAAAAAATACTAATGCACTGCAATATTTTGATTGAAAAAAATATATATATTTTTACAGCACTGTTTTGAATTTTATAAAAACAAAATTTCAATAGTAAAATTATTAAATAATAATATTAATCTAATATACTAGTGTAAAAACAAACAAAAGATTTTATTTTCACACACACATTTAATAAACATGAACACAAAACATTTTTTTCATACTAATCATACTCACATTCTAAATTTTCTATAATTTTTATATATGTATGTGTATACAAATGTATATTAATTTTTATTTTATTTTTGTAGGTAATTTTATGTAGAATGCTAGAAAGTAATATTGAGAAAAAAAACAGAAATTTATTAAAAAATTTATATAAAAAGAAATCGAAATTTCAAAGTTTTACATATAAATTACCGTGAAAAATCGTATGTACATATTATTTATTAAAAACAATTGGATTTGAAAGAAAATGAGCTATGAAAAAGTAGTTTATAAAAACCACTCATCAATGACAGCCATCAATCAGGCAGTACAACTGCAAATTGGAGCAAAAATTAAACCAAAAAAAATTTATCAAAAACAAAAAAAAAAAATATTGTCAATTAAATTTGTCCCAACAAGACATAATCGGAAGGCAAAAATTAAAAAAAATATAAAATTAACGAAAGTGCAAAATGTATCATTAAACTCCATCAGACACATCGAAAGTATCATAGTGCAATCATCATATGAATGCCCAATTGGCTGGCGCACCAGGTTCGATATTAACTCAAAATTCGTTTGTTGGTTTTGTTTGCGCTTACATATTTTTTGGCCAGCAGTCAACGAAAGCTTTAGTAATTTGTAGTTAAAGTTGAATTGTGTTTTTGTGTTGTTTTTGTAATTTTATTATTTTGAAAATTTTTATTTTTTTTTCTCACACAAAGTGGGCAAAAAGAACAGCAAACTCGTACTAGTATTTGAAATCTTATTATTTAGTTAATTTGTTGTCGCAAAAAACACATTCAGAATGTAATTTTAAAATTTAGTATTATTATTATACAACTATATATATGTACGTGTAATATTTTACCATAGATGTAAGTGTATTTTTTTTTAACTTTTAATCAATATACTTTTTAAAGAAAAAAATGGTATTTGGTATAGTGAAAAGTAAACCATTATTTTTGCATTAAATTGAAGGCCTTATTCACCATAATTAAAATTCGACGATTTACGCCACAGCATCTTGATCGTTGGCCCTTTGCCATTTCGAAGTTAATGTTATTATGACTCTCTAATAGAAAGATTAAGTGGGAGAATCGATTTTCAAAGGTTTCTTCTTTTGAGACCATTCCATCATCAGCCAAATCATACGCCATAGTCAAGAAGAGATGTTAATCACTTGGTGCGAAGTACGGACTATAATGTGCATGCTTAGGAACCTACCAAGCAAGCTCTTAGGGGGAACTTCTGGCAAGTCACTATCGATGTGTGTGGTCTTACGTTGTTTTGATGAGACACAGAACTCCCCTCCCGTTGATCAAAGCTTGGCGCTTAAGGGCGTTTGCTGCTCCCAGAAAGTTCAATTGCTGACAGTAGGGATCTGGTAATAACTTATAGTGCATAGTTCCTTGCCAATCCCACCGAACTCACAACAAAACCTTACTAAACGTCAATACTGGCTTGGAGACCATTTTGTGGGTCACTGCCCTTCGACCGCAGCTTTTTTCGTTTTACGTTGCTGTAAGTGATCCACTTTTCATCACCAGTCAGCAACCGCTTCATAAATGGAGGAGATTCATCGCATAAGGTATTTTCTCGTCAATTCATGTGACAGCCATTCAACGAACTTCTTTTTGTATATCCACAAGTTTCAAGACGAAATTGTTTTGAAAGTTAGGTTATGTTGCACTTGTCGATCCCATGGATAGTCTCAGTCTACTCTGTTCTGTTTCTTGTTTTAAAAATATTGCCGTATTCGCAGCAAAATGAAATGGACATCTTGCTGTTTGAGGTTTTTGCAGTCTCAGCATCTGTATTGCACTCGCAAAGTGTCGCAAGGAGCCGCTAAGCCCTTTGTCGACTTCTCCAACATCTCCTTTATCTCATTGTCGGTGGAAGTAATCGAGTTTGTAATCTGAAGGTAGCAGGCAAACTGCTTTTGTCCCGCTCCTCTTGTTTTGCTTTATCACCAAAAGCATTTCTTCTTTTTTATTGACATAGACAGCGTTCGCGCGATTAAAGTCGAGTTAACAACATTCCTTCCTTCTTTCCGCTGTTTGGCGTCAATTGCGAATACAAAGAACAGCAAGGTCCCTCTCTACTTGACTTTTCCAACGTATTGGAGGTCTTTCTCTTCCTCTGCTTCCACCAGCGGGCACTGCATCGAAGACTTTCAAAGTTGGTGTATTCTTATCCATCCGGATCACATGACCTAGCCAAGATTCGATGAACTATGCCAATGTCCTCATATATCTAACCAAGCTCATCGCTCCATTGCCTGCGGTATTCGCCACTTCCAACTCTTAGAGGACTCATCAGATGTGGTCATCATCAATGACTCCACATCATAGCAAGGCGTAAATGGTGAGAGACTTGCAGAGTTCGGTCTGTATATATTTATTACAAATCTCAAATGGATGGTTTTCTTTCCAAATGAGACCAAATGAGATGACGCATACAGTTTTACGTTACACATGATAAATATAGAAAATATGGTAAATAAGGGAATTCAGAATGTTACAGTGTGACCTAGCATTTCGACACTCAAAGATTATTATTTCCCTACATTTCATGCATTGAAAGTAATTTTTTTACTCATTTATAGTATGAATCTGATCTTTTCCTCGTTAGATCAAATTTAATAAGCTTAGTTTCTATTCTGCAGTACTTTGTTCGTGCTCAAAGGCTGCCAACCGATGATACAGGATGAAGCCTATTCTAAAAGTCCGCCTACTTCAGCCAATTCATCGACTTTCTCATTACCCTTGTCGACTTCGACTTCGTACCGCGTGAAAGTAAGCTTTAATGGCCCCTTTCTGTGTACGGCTGTTACCGATTCCGAATGAATTGCCGTCGGCAAGAAATTTTCTGTTATGAATTTACGAAAAATTCCATCAGCAAATTCCTATGATTTTTTAGTTTGTACTACCAGCTTTACATATCTCCCAGCTGTAACAAAAACAACAATATTCGCTGCTGCAAGCAAACGCTCATTACCTTGTGCATGCATATCCCTCTATCTAGTTCGGTTATCACTCGGGAGATATGTAAATAAGTAAAACAGTGACATTTGACGCCCCGAGAACTCTCAAATAATTGAAGAGAAGCCATTACACTCAAAAATCTTCCGGTCTGGTGCACTCATTGATCCATCAGTGTGATTGGACCTTACTCCTTTGAAATTGACGGTTCACTGTCGATGCGAAGTGTTATCGCCTTATGATAACCGACCATTTTCCACCTGCCATTGAAGGGCACGATCTGTACAAAGCTCAAGCTTTATAATAAGTAAGAAATTTAATTATAAAATAATATTTTAAATGTATTTTATTTACGCTTATTTTCGAAACAGCATAACCCTTTGCATACTTTAAGGATGAAACTTAAGACTTGTGAGCGAAACTTGTGCAGAATTTTTTTAGAAATTTAATAAAATTCACTTAGTGAAATATTAATTGAAATTATCGAAATTCAATGATAACAGTAAAAGTAGAGTTTCTGTCTATATATATAAAAAGAAAATAACAGATAAATAATGAAAAAAGGAAATGAAACGGCGCAACCAAATCATATGCCTACATACATATATTTATTACGATATAAGACGTTAAGTTAAGTTTTTTAATTTAAAATATCTTTGAAAATATTATGAAAACAAAAAAGTTAGAAGTAATTCTCAGATGTAAAGAGTTCTGAATGTGTTTTATATGTGACTTTGTGAAGTGAAAATTTTGTTATTAAAATATTGGTTTTTTTTTATAAATTTGTTATTTACATTGTTGGTAAAAGCAAAACATGTTCCCGTTGGTGCTGTTTGTTTGTTAGTTTACTCGTGTGTTTTGTTTGTGTTTTGTTTTTTACTTTCTTGATTTATACATATATTTTTTTTAGTTTTTGTACCTTCACCTGAGTGTATTTGACACTAAGTTGAACAAACTTTCCTTGTAGTTTGTATTAAATATTTTATTTTTATTTAAAATTATTTTAGATATTTTTAAATTTTGCATTGAAATGAAAGTTATGATTAAATCTTTTGTAAAGCATATTTAAAATTAATATTTATTTATTTTAAATAATTTTTTTTATATTAATTTATTTATTTATTTATTTTTTTTGTTAAACCAAAACAGGTATCATAGAGCTCAGTTTTCTTAGTTACCTATACGCATTGTACAAGCTAATCGAGAACTTTCGGATTTATTTATTATTTTCGAATATACCTACGAATTCTATTTTGATAAGTCAGTGTGTTTTTTTTTAATTTGCCGGACGTCTAGCAGATATGGCTTCTTTTCAGCCTTTAGCTGAAAACATTTTAAATTTGGCACTGTTTTTCTTTGGCTTTGGTTTTTTTTTAGAAAATTTGTATGCGTTTTTTACCTTAGTTTAGATTCAGATTTTTTGTCGAAATTTTTTAAAATAACAAACTAAATTTCATACACTCTAGTTAGTTATAATGAAAAGGGGTGCGCTCAGTGCAAAGCTTCTTCACCGTTAAAAATTACAAATTTTCTATGTATATAAATTACTTTCTGCGGGTTTAAATTTTTTAAGGC